ACTTTCATAGAACATTGCAACTTTTAAGGACGTTGTCGAGTTATGAGTAAGAAATTCAGATGCTCCTTAGCGAAAACAGTAAAATATATCAAAATCTGGAAAATGGTCGATGATCCTTCGAAAGTGTTAAGAAAAATAACAAAAATCGCTGACTCTGTTTGACTGAGTCTTTACATAAGGGATAATGAAATAAAAAACGCAAATCTCTCACGCCCCTAGCCCCGGGTTAACTCGCCCCTAGACAGCTCGTCACCTTTTTGGTCAACTCGTCCCCTATTTTATTTATTTTTTTTTCTAATATTTGATTAATTATCAGAGAGTTTAAGATATATCTTATAAAATTTTTGTAAGAGAACTATTGAAATTGACAGTGGGATTCATGAGCTATATACCTACATTATTTGTTGATCTTGTTTATCATATTTTATCTTTACACAATCATAATTATATGCATTATCTGACAACTTGGTTATTTTATCAACTTACAAACAGCAAACAAAGACCATGAAGACGATCACATATCAGTAACATTTATTGTGCAAAACAGAACACATCTTTATACTTAAATAAACACCTGGCTGTCTGATAATAGGATTAACGTAATGTGAAAAAAGATGTGCCTTTAAAGTGATTGGAAACGTATTTAGATAGTCAGATAATGCCTGTGACACACGTGATAATCGTGCCAAAAACTTATTATATAAAATGCATATTAGGATATATATATGTATGTTAACTGCTTTTGAAAATATTTTCAAACACTTAGTGTATTACGCTATAAATGCGCTTCAAATATCTTTGTATTTTTTTTTAGAAAAAAAAACCCCACTAACTCTTCCAAAATACATGTGTGAAAATGATATATGTTAGTTCAATTCTTTAATTTAACGCCTCGGGAGGGATTTGGAATAGAAAAATCATATACATGTCTTTATCATCTTTATCACCACATTTATATTGACAATTTCCAACAAACAATTATCACGTCGCTCCTTCAATATTGAGAACATGCAATATGTATCAACGTATTTTTAGCTCACCTGACCACGAAATGCGTCGTTGTTAACAGTCACAGTTTTGATTGGATCATAATCAAACTTGTCTCAATGGTGAAATACAGGTCAAGTTCGAATATGGGTCATCTCGGGTTAACAACTAGGTCATCGGAGCTAAAAATAGAAAATTCTTGTTAACACGCTAGTGGCTGCAGTTTTGATCCGAATATCCTGGAAATTGGTCAGGAAAATTGTTTTGATAATTTCTAGGTCAACTTCGAATATGGGTTATCTCCGAGCACGAACTAGGTCACATGAGCTAAAAATAGAAAAATCTTGTTAACACTAGTGACTGCAGTTTCTAAATATTCTGGAAATTTGTCAGAAATATTGTTTAAATGATCAAGTTAAAATATGGGTCATCTCCGGTATAAAACTAGGAGAAAACTAGGTCAAAGGGGCTAAAAGTTGAAAAATCTTGTTAACACTCTAGTGACTGCAGTGATCCAAATATTTTTGAAATTGGTCAGGAAAATTAATATGATGATTTCTAGGTCAAGTTCGAATATCGGTCGTCTATGGTCTGTTAACACTCTAGTGACTGCAGTTTTGATCCAAATATTCTGGAAATTGACCAGGAAGGTTGTTTTGATGATTTATAGGCCAAGTTTGAATATGGGTCATATTCGGTCACAGCTAGGCCACAGGAGCTAAAAATAGAAAAATCTTGTTAAACTAGTGACTGCAGTATTGATCCAAATATTTTTGGAATTGGTCAGGAAGTTTGTTTTGATGTTTTCTAATTAAAGTTCGAATATGGGTCGTCTCTGGTCAAAAACGAGCCGGAGCTAAAATAGAATAATCTTGTTAACACTCTAGTAGCTGCAGTTTTGATCCAAATATCCTGGAAATTAATCAGGAAGGTTGTTTTGATGATTTCTAGGTCAAGTTCGAATATGGGTCATCTCCGGTCAAAAACTAGGTCAGATGAGCTAAAAATAGAAAATTGTTGTTAACACTCTAGTGCCTGCAGTTTTGATCCCAATATTTTGGAAATTGGTCAGGAAAACTGTTTTAATGATTTATAGGTCAACTTTGAATATGTGTCTCCATTTGTCAAAAACTAGGTCACTGGAGCTAAAAATAAAAATTCTTATTAACACTCTAGTGGCTACAGGTTTGATGATTTCTAAGTCAAGTTCGAATATGGGTTGTCTATGACTAAAAAATAGGTCACAGGAGCTAAAAATAGAAAAACCTTGTTAACACTCTAGTGGCTACTGTTATGATCCAAATATCTTTGAAATTGGTCTGAAAGTTTGTTTTGATGATTTCTACGTCAAGTTCGATTATATGGGTCACCTTGGGTCAAAAACTAAGTCACACTGCCCACATAAAGAAAAACCTTGTTTAATACTCTAATGTTAATACTTTTCATTTTCATTTTTGACTCAATTGTCATCAAACTTGGTCAGGATGCTTGTCTAGTTAATTGCTTGGATGAGGTCAGGGGAGCGATCTAGGGCCATCTTGGCCCTCTTGTTTCATATACTGTATTTTTTCACTAGCCATTCAGGGTTTAGACAAAGATCAAAGATATAGACAATATATTAGTTATAATAATCATTAAACGCCCCAATTAGTTAAAAAAATATTAATACTATTTCGTTAAAATTAGTTATTTAAACATTCATGTTGAAAATTTGTAAACTTACCTGCCTTTGTAGTATTATATCAAATAAGACATTGATTTATAACATAATAGTGGCAAGTTGACCATATGAGGGATTCGAGACGAGATGACCAAAAGTAGGGAACGAGTTGACCAAATAGGTGACGAGATGACCACGGGACGAGTTGACCTTATCGCGGCTTGAGCAGTACTCAATCAATGATTCCGAAGGACCAGAAAAATATAACAACATTGAAGTTGTGGAGTTGGTAGTTATCTCTCCAGATCACGGCAGTAAGCCATCTTGAATTTACTAGAGCACAGTTCAGCCACCACATCGTTCCTGACCAGGCTGTTAAACAGTTAACCGGTACTAGTTGTCTTCACTTTCGCAAAGAACTGATTACTTCTGTACATACAAGCATACAAGGGCAGATGTACAGTGTGAAGTGAAGCAATGGGAAACTTTTCAAAGCTGCCACACGGCACGTGACACCTATTGTGAAATATAAAAATGGACCAGACAAAAAATGTTAATTTAAATTTGTTTCTTTCGCTTGTCAGCATTCCTTATTTATTTTCATTCTGGACTTTACCCGCTTGAAAAACGCGCGTTAGATATTCACTCAATATTTACGAACTCTTGATCTCTCACTTTGTTTTTTAGCACATAAGTAATTATCTTTGACGGATTTTTTTCAGAACTATATTTCTTACACAAACGTACTTAGCTTTCAATATTCAAATGAAATGAAATTAAGTGATACAAAAAGTACTAATTAATGTACTTTTTTTAGATTTCATGGAATTTTCTTCAAATTCCAACCCGAATCTACAAATTTAAATTACTTCCATTAGCGTTTTATATTCGATTATTATGGCACTAAATACCAAAAATACCATAATATTCGGAATAATCATTTCATCAAAAGATAATTCTGTCCACACAATTATAAGCAATAATGCTGACGCATAAGTTTGCAACCAAAATGCAATCAAAATGCTGGAACAAGTTTTTTTTTGTGTGTATTGAAACTTTATTTGGAACATGCAATTAAAACATTTACACAAGATTCACAGAAATATACTTTGTCTAGTTTGGTGAACTTCCAAACCGACCAGAATTGTCACTTTTCAAATCGCAAAATATGTGCATGACCAGTTTATATCTTCGGTGACAGAAGCTAGGAAGCTGAACGGAATATTTTCATTACTAGCAATTTTCATACCGCTATAATAAATTACAGAAATATTTTACTAAATCTTATAATCGTTATATCGATTTAATTTCAAAATTCAAAAGCGATTTGAAAACTCTTCTACGACTAAAGATTGTCAAGTCTGATTTATGTGGAGACGTGATCCGAACTTCGTATACGTAATAAGATCTTGCATCATGGTATTTTTTTTTCTACTGTCTTTTCTAAAATGATTAAACGTTTTATTACAAGAGGTTATGGCCCTAATATTAAAAAGAACCCTACAGAACGGCTAAACGGCATAATTGAAAATGTTGCACTCTCGGTTTGATTGCGTCTGTTCATGGACGGTACTAGAAAATGCAAGCTACCATTCACGCTCTCTATCACCGGCTGAGGCAGAGTTCATTTCTGTGACAATTGAATTTATAACGAATTTAATATAAATACACCACTACAAGATTTACCTATATTCTTGTCATATCCTGAAAATATTTGGTCTGACAATTGATAGGGAATGTTTAGGGATTAAATGGATGACATTAAGGATTTCTTCGACGTGTCACAGTTCGTGTATATCCAGGAAAGGGCTGATTGCTAGAAACCATGAAAGTTCATGTATTCGAATTCATATGACTTTGTTCAATAATATTTTTTGTATACAATTTTACAAACGCAATCAAGTGAACACACGAAAGGGTTGTGCCAAAAGTTCTAACAACATTATATACCGTACGTGGGGCCTTAAATTCAATGAATAAATTGCTATAAATTAATATATAATAATTATTGATGTAGTGGAATATGTAAATGACACCAGTTGTTACAGGTTTCACTCTCCTCGAGTTTTCGGGTTTTTTTACGGTTCTTGATGATGCATCAACCCAGAGATGCAGATTTATGTCTCTGATCAACCTGTATTAATTTTGTTACAAATAGAAAATATGGGAAAAACATGTTGAAATACCTGTAAACCTACCAATTATCGATAAATGTAATTCATTGTTGAATTTTAATCAAGATTTTCTTTTACTCTGGTAATATTTTTCTTTCTTTTATTAGGTAGGGCCTACATATTCCATGACGGCGAGATGACAAGGACGGCATGGAAACTCGTTTTGATTCGTTATTGTATTCTACCACACTGTTTAAAATTAAAGATGTCTGCCAATTTACATCCGCAATGAAAACTTGAGGAAAAATAGTCAATTTTATTGGTCAGAGAGCATGTGAATAAAACAAATGAACAAGAAAAACCATGAAGTGTAATCGAGGTGCTAAATAATGGGTTCACATATTCTCGATATCCTTCGTCAGGGGATATGGGCGTCGTTAACAGGCGGATGGTTCTACGATCCACATCTAAGCATATTTATCAACACATTCCACTTGTATCTATGGCTGTTCTTGCTCGCATTTCCACTCATCTTACATTTGGTATGCAATTTCTATTTTCGTTTTTATTACGAATGATATCTACATTCAAAGTCCTTTTGCTGTTCTATAGTGATTGGTCTAGTCCTGCAAAAATTATTTGGCAAGCCTTTAGAAATTATCTGTCCGCAGCTATTTTAATATTTCACACAAAATTATTTCTTCAGTATTTATCAGTTTATGTTTCTCTAAACATCACTCAGATTACTATCAAAAGGAGCACTTAGAATTTGTCCGCAGCATCATCCATGTTACAAAATTGTAACTCATAACCCTCTAACCCATACCACTAATCCTTATCAACCTGGAAGTCAGTGTTGCGTCTAGAATATTAACATCAGGGCTCACGCTGTCAGTCGCCATTTGCGTTTATTTTATAAGATTGGCGATTATTTTTGCATTTTGGCTACAAAATCTGGCGATTATTTTTTACTTCCAACAGTGTTTATATAAGGTGTAAAAATCGATAATGAATGCAGTAGACCCAATTAACACCAGCGGGGTGCATTTAATTGAGTGTCAACTTTTTACCGGTCACGTGCTGTTAACTATATTGCCCGAGGTGATAAAATACATGCAAGATGTATAATTGTATAAGTACTTTAAAGATATTGTCCAGCATTTGTAATAGCCATCAAATATCCGTCAATAAGCCACAAAAATCGTTTTAAAATTGATAAACAGGATATTGACTTACCCAAAATTTACCGTGAATTGCAGTAATTGCAAATTTTGATTTTTTTTTGTTTAAAGCTACTTGACCAAATCGCCAGTGGGAAACAATGGTAATATATTAAAAAAAGTATTAACTTCCAAACAACTATTTGCACAACAACCAAAATTGTGAATATTTCTTCAGAAAACAGGAAAAGTCCGATTGTCACATATTTTCGCGACACCGATAATTTTGATATTTATTTAAAGGTGAAATAAGCTATGTTCTGTTTAAAAATCTTTACTACTATGGCAGAAAATTTGTATTACATTGGTGATGATGATATTTTTCAGTAAATTATTCAGAAAAAAGGCTGCATTCTGTGAATGAGTTTGCAAACTTGTGTTATTTCTATAGGCTAATTAATATGACTTAGATCTACTCCAGTTCTGTGTGAAATTGACAGTGGTTATAGCTGACAAAATTTGATTAGAACAAACAAAAAAAGTTGTCTGATAACAGCATTATGTAATGTTATAATGAATCTTTAATATTAGTGTTATACAGTAATTATACTAATTATAACATTTTTGTTCTGTTCTATAATAACAATTAAAGTTGTGGTTCTATTTAAAAATAGGTAGTTATCAATATACACAAATGTATCAGTTTATTTGAGAATCCTTATAAAACTGAAAGATATAAATGTAATGTTTATTTAATCAACAGCTAATGTTGTTAATCGCTAATTCGTGAATAGTCCGCTGAACTTTTGGCTATTATTTTTTTAAGTTGAAATTATTGGCTATTATTTTATTTGAGCCAGTGTGAGCCCTGCAACATTATGGGGGATTGTCCCCCACTCAACTGAATAATGTGGGGGATTTGAAAAAAATGTGGGGGACAAGCATTTACCAACAATATGATCATTTTAAAATTGTATTTTTGTTGTAAAACAAACAGAAAACAATGACTGACTTACCAAAAAAGATTCATTAATTTTACGTTTAGTCATTTTTGCAATCGTCTGCTCAAGAACAGAAATATAAATAGAAAATAAGATTTTGACGAATACTAGTTAAGTGCACAGGTCAACTGTCAATACACACGTGAGATGATCCGACCGGCTGCTACTGCAGCATGCCCACTCAATTTAAAAGCTTGCAAACCAGGATTCAAAGTTTAGATGGAGACTGTTATTTATGTGTTTAATGCATCGGATCCTAGTATTTGCCTGAAAAAGAAATGCCAAGATGTAATAATGATAATAATAACAGTGATTTTATTTAAAAAGGCAACACAGCAATTTAGGCAAGCCTAGTCTTCCCTATTAGCCTCTGTGTAGTGATATTTGTATGTTACATGCACATCCTGTCAGTATGTCCACTACTTACTACAGTACATGTATATACATTTACTTCTCTTTCAGACATTAACACCGTCTCTGTTTATATGGATTCTGTACTGCGGTATTGTTGGGTTGGTATTTATTGTTGTCAAGGTGATGAACTACAAATTACACCATATGTTTGATACATCTGAGGTGATAGAAGAAGTAGATGTTAAAACCAGTGTCAAAGGTGATAGTAACCCGGCAGTGGCTTTGTGGTAAGTTACCAATATTAATTTCATTTGTATATTATCGGGGCTTCCGTTAATGGAAATTTGAGAGTCATTTACTCCTTGACTTTGGCTTGTGACTTCCAAACTGTAGTGCTTTTCCTTCTTTACCTATGTAATGTGACTTCTAATGTCAGAGATTTTGCAGTCTTTGACTCTCTGACATCCAAATTTTGAAACTTAATGGAAGCCTTGTATTATGTTTTGCATATTTTTCAATTTTAAGTGCCCCAGTTGATCTATGTAAGAAATAAAATTGTATGTTATCTGGCTAGGCTTTATGCCAGTGGAGTTCCTTTTAGATGATACAATGTTTATATGTTTGTTTTAGGGTTTGTTTAGAAATTGACACCACCTTTCATAAATGCAATAGAGCCATGTTCATTAAGTAAATGTACACATTGATATTGAAGACCTGATAATGGCATTGTTGTACATGTATGAGCACAGGCTATTATTGTCTTATGTTTTTTATGCATGTATATAATATATATAACATGTATATTATATGTTTATACAGTACAGAGGAACCTCCAGAAACCATTGAGATGAAGGATATGTCAAATAATGCCAGCAAACACGAGAGTCAATCTACTGACCATAAAATGGATACCCAGCCTGACACACATTCTGAACGTAGTAGCAGAAAACATAGTTCTGAAAATAGTGCTAGAAGAAGAAAGTCAAGACGTACTGGTAAGTATATATTTTATAATTTTCTTTGAAATATTGTGAAAATGCATGACTCAACTCATTCTGCATTAAAAAACTCATTGAATTACTTTTGATATTTTGATAAATAAGATTATGAATTTGTTTGGAAGATAAAACATATGAATTTGTTGAAGATATGAAACATCAGGTCTTCTATGTTACCCAGGGGAAAAAATCTGTATGATTTACTTTAATTAATTGGAGAAATCGTTAATCAAATAAAATTGATATCCATTGATTAGTAGATCTAAATACATTTGTTTTAATCCATTTAGCAGAGTTCTCTCCTAGTATATCACTCATATTGTATTATTGTAACAGATCATATACAGTTCTGTCCTAGTATATCACCTATCACTGATATTGTATTATTGTAACAGATCATATACAGTTCTGTCCTAGTATATCACCTATCACTCATATTGTATTATTGTAACAGATCATATACAGTTCTGTCCTAGTATATCACCTATCACTCATATTGTATTATTGTAACAGATCATATACAGTTCTGTCCTAGTATATCACCTATCACTGACATTGTATTATTGTAACAGATCATATACAGTTCTGTCCTAGTATATCAACTATCACTGATATTGTATTATTGTAACAGATCATATACAGTTCTGTCCTAGTATATCAGATATCACTTATATTGTATTATTGTAACAGATTATATACAGTTCTGTCCTAGTATATCACCAATCACTGATATTGTATTATTGTAACAGATCATATACAGTTCTGTCCTAGTATATCACCAATCACTGATATTGTATTATTGTAACAGATCATAGACAGTTCTGTCCTAGTATAACACCTATCACTGACATTGTATTATTGTAACAGATCATATACAGTTCTGTCCTAGTATATCAGATATCACTTATATTGTATTATTGTAACAGATTATATACAGTTCTGTCCTAGTATATCACATATCACGGATATTGTATTATTGTAACAGATCATATACAGTTCTGTCCTAGTATATCACATATCACGGATATTGTATTATTGTAACAGATCATATACAGTTCTGTCCTAGTATATCAACTATCACTGATATTGTATTATTGTAACAGATCATATACAGTTCTGTCCTAGTATATCAGATATCACTTATATTGTATTATTGTAACAGATTATATACAGTTCTGTCCTAGTATATCACCAATCACTGATATTGTATTATTGTAACAGATCATATACAGTTCTGTCCTAGTATATCACCAATCACTGATATTGTATTATTGTAACAGATCATAGACAGTTCTGTCCTAGTATAACACCTATCACTGACATTGTATTATTGTAACAGATCATATACAGTTCTGTCCTAGTATATCAGATATCACTTATATTGTATTATTGTAACAGATTATATACAGTTCTGTCCTAGTATATCACCAATCACTGATATTGTATTATTGTAACAGATCATATACAGTTCTGTCCTAGTATATCACCAATCACTGATATTGTATTATTGTAACAGATCATAGACAGTTCTGTCCTAGTATAACACCTATCACTGACATTGTATTATTGTAACAGATCATATACAGTTCTGTCCTAGTATATCACCAATCACTGATATTGTATTATTGTAACAGATCATAGACAGTTCTGTCCTAGTATAAAACCTATCACTGACATTGTATTATTGTAACAGATCATATACAGTTCTGTCCTAGTATATCACCAATCACTGATATTGTATTATTGTAACAGATCATATACAGTTCTGTCCTAGTATATCACCAATCACTGATATTGTATTATTGTAACAGATCATAGACAGTTCTGTCCTAGTATATCACCAATCACTGATATTGTATTATTGTAACAGATCATAGACAGTTCTGTCCTAGTATATCAGATATCACTTATATTGTATTATTGTAACAGATTATATACAGTTCTGTCCTAGTATATCACATATCACGGATATTGTATTATTGTAACAGATCATATACAGTTCTGTCCTAGTATAGCACCTTTCACTGATATTGTATTATTGTAACAGATCATATACAGAGAGCAAGCAGTCAGAAGGGATCAAGCCGGGCTCCATTAGCCGAGATGGACAAAGATGAAACAGATTTATCTTTACAAGGAGCTGTGGGAGGAACCAGTAGAATTCTTACACATCACCATGGCAACAGTGATCAAGATGATGGTAAACTCCCCTCAAAACACCTTATATTAACACCCTTTGTAACTTACTTTATCTATATTAACACCCCTCGTAACATACCTTATATTAACATCTTTAAATTGTGAAAGTGATAAATGTATTTTCATCTGAAATAAATTTCTTTTAAAGTTAAGCTCATGAATTTGCATGAATTTATCTTATAGTTAGTACTGACATTTGAAAGGTAGGATGTTTCATGTTCAGTGTCATTTTATTGTAGAAGTTTTGAATATATCTTTTAGAATTTTTTTGTGTGAGATTAACAATGAATTTTTGTTTAAAGTTGTATATAATAGAAACAATTATTTAGTTATGATATTTTATTCTGCCTGTGTCTTTCAGAAGACACCCCCACAGACGTTGAAGATGACCTTAGTGTACCTAACACTATAACAACTAAAGCTGATGTGGAAGTAGAACCCTCTGATCGCTGCCAGATTAACCTAGATGATGATAACTCGTCTCCATCTCAACTCAAATCCCCAACAGAATCCAAGCACTCGTGTGATGCGGACCTAAGTGACACATCACCTGAACATGAAAATGTCAAACTGAAAAAGTCAAGACGTAGAGCTCAGAGAGCCAAAAGTGCTTTAGAAAGCTCTGATTTAGCCTCCAAACATTCCTCAGAGCGATCTTTACGCTCGCGTCCCTCACTGCCAGCTAGACCAAAATTACACTCTGTGATTAATAAAGATACTGGTGTTAGTATAGTTAGACCCTGGAGTGATCAAACAATTTGTAAAACTAAACAAATGTTAGAAAGTGATGAAATTACTGTGATAGATTTTGAAGTGATGAACAATGTTGCTAAAGCATATCAAGCTCGTAACGCAAAACAAGATAGATCTAAATTAAACCAGCCATCCAGTGATAGTGTTTCTGTCAGGGAACCATGGTATAAAGGATTTAATCCTGACATTGTTAGTTCTTCTGAAATATTTGACAAAGATAATGTGGAAAATTCACGGACTAGGACAACTAAATCTCAGCTTGAAAAACTGAGTGATGAAAATGTATGTGATGAAGAACCTTGTTCAAATGGCATCCGATCTAAAGGTGATAAGAAAAAGAAAAGAAGTTCATCACAAAGCTCGGCCAAATGTGTGTCCAATACAGACAAACTTGATGGAAACATTTCCAAAAATGTTGAACATATTAGATCTAGATTTCGGAATAGAAATGCTATTAGTGAAGAAAGGTATGTTGAAAAAGAAAGTTCGAGGACATCTAGTCAGCCTGCCATTAAAGTGGCGTCACCAATGTTTCCATCAAGTAGTGATAATGATTCAGATATAAGTTTAGGTGAAGTTGTTGTAGTCCCTATGAAACAGAAGAAATTAAGAACCTCTAGTGATACAACTGACAAATGTTCCAATAAAGGTCGCGAAAGAACTAAAGTTAATAAAAAACCAAAACCTGGCGAACGTAGACCAAGACCAAATAGTGCCGAGTTTGTTAAATCTAAAGAATCTAATACAGTGACAGATGTATCTAATAAAAATAAATGTAAAATAAATTCAAGTCCAACATTGAACTCAAACGGTGCAGGTACCCCTGAAAAGCCAAAAGATGTAGGGTTTGCACGAGTCACTAAGATGTTGACCCGTGCAGCAAGTGATAAAAGTGTAGGTAAAGTGCCATCAGATAGTAATTCCCAGCAGAGCAGTGTGATAGGATTAGATTGGCTGTTTAGCACTGACAGTGACTCATCAGGTAATTATAAACACATGAAGGGTTTTCTTTTTTCTAATTTAATTGATTTCACAAAGCAACTTAAAGTAAAATTTTAGCTAATGACTAAATGTGTTCAGTACCTAATTAAATGAACTTAGACTAAATGAAGTCCATTGTCATGTGCAAATAGCTATCAGAATGTGGTATATAGAGATTAATAGGGTAGACTAGGAGATGATATTAACAAATGCTTTATTCTACAAGTACATTAACAATATATGTCAAGATATCTTTTAAATTAAATCAATTTCCATGACTTCTAGAACAGGTGCTTGTTTGACATTGTATGTGATTTCATTTATGTTGCAAGCAGGTAAAGAACCTCCTGTGTTAAATAGCGAACATACAAATGTATAGAGTAATTACTTAAAAACATAAAAATTATATCTACAGTTTTAATTACCTTGACATTTCTGTAAAACCTGTAATATTTGAAACAAGTAATTCATGTTATTAAATTTTATGTTTCATTCCAAAACAACTTGCCTCCATCTATTCACTAATTATGTGCAGGAAATGTCATAGCTCAATGTTAATCTCAGTATTTTTTTGCCCTCATGAAATGTTTTGGCAAAGTTGATATAAAACAGAATTTCAAAAACTATTTTATTTTTATAATTGTTGTAGATACAAGGTCACATCATGACCATGATGTTGACAGTATAACATCAACTTCTGTTTCCCTTGACGACAGTTTCTATGACAACTCTGTGATATATACAGCTTTACATGACACTGATACAGTAACCTCCCCTAGTAGTACAGGAACCGATGATCCTGGTCTCCAGAATAAATATAAAAATACAGTCAGTACTAACTTTACAAAAGATGTAAACCAGTCATCAAAACCCGGTCCCCTTAAAGGGGAACAACTCAGTGATAGTGATGATTTAGAAGATGGTGAAATATGTGATATAGCTGACTGTTTAGGAACCAGTGTGGATAAAAGTGATGGTGAGGAGAATGAGCCAGGAACTAGTGAGCAATCAAAACCAGGATCAGATGATTTAGAAACAATGAAGAAGCAAGGGGCAATACCTAAACATTTTAACAAACCATTACCTCCCTTACCAGAATCTGCCAACAAAACACAGTCTAAGGAAGGTGTGGTCACACAAAGCTTTTTAATGTTTTAAAATTATATTATTTTGTCTTAAAAATGTAGGAAGATTTAGCTTGAGAAAAGTATTAAAGAGACTCCACTGAGGTTTAAAAGCCTAAAAACATAACATTTGAATTTCTTACATAATTGAGCTGGGGCACTTTAAACAGAAATATATGCCAAGACAGTTAGGAAAGATACTTTTAAGTAAATTGAAAATTGTATTTTTATGCTTTTCTTAGCCCAATTTTGCGTCATTTTTTTACACTTTGAATAATTATTCTGGAAAAACGAAGTGTGCAAATGATCTGAAATTTTGCACAAAAATTAGTGGTCTAAACCAACATCAAATGCTTTATCTGAAAAAAAAAATAGTTTCAGTCCCATCATGTCAGTCAAAAGACCTCAGTGTAGTCCCTTTAACCATAATTATCATGTTATATGACAGATTAACCATTACTGAGCTAAATATCTTTAATGGACTTGTCCGTTTTTCAATCTGGACAAAATCGTTCATCATTTTTTGTGAAACTTTAAAGAAAAATTGACTGACTGAAAAGCGCACAGTGCAGACCATGATCAAATGTCACAGATGTACTGGCTGACCTTGATCTGCACTGGTCACATGGGTAAATTCAGTTTCAGCCGGTAGATTAAAAGTTACACTGCCAGTCACAGGTCACTACTTTAATGAGTAAGAAAAAAATTATTGTGTCTGATTCACAGTTGAAAAAGGTGTACTTGTATAGATTTTTAATAATTACTAAATACATGTATATATATTTCCTCAGGTAAATGAGGAAGTTGTACATAGGATTATATTTGTGTTCATTAACATTATTTGTTAATTTGATAGCCTAAAGTCTTAATAGGAAAAGAATATAACATTTTTGTTAATATTTCAGTATATATAATAAAAGATATTCTTTTACCAGTATTAGATAAACTCATTTACTGACCTTCATGGTTAACTTTCCTGTAACATATACATTTCATTTAAGTCATTTTATACCAAGTTTTTACAGGTAATTTTTGTATTATTAATCATCCTAATACAAGATGTATTTACAGACATCCCAGACACCAAAGCTTCAAGTCCATCCTCCTTTGATCTGTCCGACCCGGAAGAGTTTCACAGAAAGTTAATAGAGATTCTTAACGAGCCGGCAGAAACTTCGACTGAACAACTTAAAAAATTCATGGCTGTCATGGAGGCAAAAAGTAAGTATTCAACAGAAACTGTAAATTTTATGCTTTCAATAAAAGTAATATGAAATAACAAGTACCAGTATGTGACATAATTTTGGTTGTGTATGTAGAATTAAAAAAATAAACGAAAAAATTAACAAATTGTTTAATTTTTGAGCTTACTCTTTGAATTTTATTTTTAAACTTGGGTTGTTTTTTTCCACTTTGGCAAGCATACATTTGTATGGTATTCCTTTTAATTTGATATTTAAAGCAAATGCAATTAAACTTTACAGATGTAAGGTCAATGTTTTATGAACTACCTAGATTTATTTTTACTAGCTTCTTAAAAGATATACATGGAATTTTCTAATTTGGCAACATGGTATATTATTATGTTGAATTCTGTTCTAATTATTAGTTCTACAATAATCAACAAAAAATATTGACTAACTAAACTAGAAAATGGCATGAAGAAACAACACTTAAAATATTGAAAGAATATTTTAACTTTGAAAGTTATTTGTTCTTGTATTTAAACATGTTTTGCACTAATCTTTATATAAAGTAAATGGAGATTTTATCAGGTTAGATGTTCATGTATTATTTTTTGTACACAGAGAATAAGAGCAGCTCAATGAGAAGTAAAAGTGAGAAAGAGGATAAAAGTGTGAGTGCGGGGGAGTCTGGTCTCGGTGGTACCTCGGTCCTCTCTCCTGATGACCTTGAAGGGACGTCAGTTCTCGGTCCAGATGATTGTGACAGTAAGTCTGGGGAGTCGAAGCCCGTTACACCAACAGAGATCTCGAGTCTTCTACCAGACAATGGGGAAACTAAAGGTGAACATAGACTGGCTCGACAACCTGCAAGGTAAACTTTTAACTGTCACCAAAAATAGTACTGTGTCATTATGTGTCATACTACAAAGCTATACCATGATAAAGCATGATTGTAAATGAAGCCTGATAATTAAGTCTAGTGAATAAACATCTGTAATATAATGGCAAGAAATTGAGTAAAAAGTACTGGGTAACTTTGAAAAAGTTTTCGCAAAAAATTTGGTTCAGACATTCTCTCAGATTTCACGTGAAATAACTGTTGTGTAATTTTGTGAAAATGATGCATCATACACATAACTTTCCATATAAGTGATATTTTTGGCAATGAAGTGGGTGTTTGTTCCTTTCTATATTTTAAAATCTTTTGTATCTTAATTTGTTTAAGAAACTATTTGTTTCTGGAAGAGTGTGTATCTTTATAGATCTTTTGATGTATAATTTTAGGAAAAGACGTCATGCAGTACGACAGAGATCACCAACAATCCCACCATGCATTACAAACAACTCGCACATCGCTGAATCTCATGAAGATACAACAGAGGGAGCCACCCATCTGTTCCAAGATGAAGATGGTACTATCTCAATGTTAAATTCCCAGTATTTTCAAACGTTTATTATATACATCTTTAAAGAATGATAAAAAGATTAAATGCAGTGTGTCAGTCATACACAACATTGTTTTTAATGTATCTTTTGTAGTTTTGTCGTAATTTGTTGTTTTGATGAATTGAAAGGAGATATATGCAAAATATCGTCATCAAAACCTAATTTTTTTAATGTAAGCCTTAAATGATGATTTTCTGTAGTTAATTTATACTTGTGTTGTTCTGCAAAATGTGTCATTATTATCAAGTTGTAATTATTTTAGTGTTTATATCATAGTAATATTTGTTTCCTAGGTAACTGGTTCTCGTACACATTTGGTGATGCAACAGCAGGTGTAGCATTGTCTCTGGCCGAAGCTTCGGATGCCCAGAAAAACTGGAAGGAAGAGTGAGTGTACACTTATTAACTGAAATATTTATAAAAAGGAAAGAATGTTTAAGATATTATTTGCTTAAGCAACAGATTTACAATAAATTTTAATTCAGTATTATGAAGCAGTGTTGTTCCTGATACATATGAGCTAATAAACTGCAATGATAGAAAATGTTTAGCAAACACTCATATTAAATTATAAAATATCTAAATTAAAAATTTAAAATGGTAGAAAAAGTAACATTGAAATACTTTATAAATACTAATAATAAATTAGAAATATTTGGTTTGGAACAGAAAAGTCACAAATACAGTAGAATTTTGTCATTAATTTGAGACCGATTTATAAGTCGAAGTCCCGGTGTCGAAGTTTTTACACAAGTCCCTTCAACTTTAACTTACTGAAGTTTTACTGCAAATAATTCTTCAATGATTTTAAGGAATGGATGTCTATAGATTTTATACATGTATTATAATTATCATTTAGTCGCTGGAGTTCCTCTTCCTGTGCGTCAGGGTCAATGGTTGTTCTTGACTCCCTCAAAGACGAGGACAAACCACCGATGTCATCATTACGTATATTAGACCATCAAGATCTAGGTCTACCTGGATCTGTAGATATAAGACCAATGCGAGGAATCTTACAGGTGTGTACATTAATTATCTTTGTTACAATATATAGGGAATATATGTAATGTTGATAAATTTAGGAATAGATTGTGTATTAATCTTACCATTTAAGTAATAGTTCATTTGAAACATAAAAAGAACTCGCAAAACTTATTATGACATGTTGACAATTTGTGTTTATATCAAGGGTTTTTGAATTAAAATAAGTATTTATATCAAGGGTTTTTAAATTAAAATAAGTATTGTTAAAAAAAGAAATTTGCAAGGATAGACTCGGACTTGTATTCTTCACTGTTTTAAATTGTTAGATCTATAGTGAGAAAATAAAAAAGTATTTGTACTTTACCTATACAGTGTTTACGTGAACATTTTGACCCTGAGGTTATTGCCAGTGTTGATGTAAGGATGTTATGTTTAATTTTATAATTATATACAGTTACCTTTCATGCATGTTCCATTTTGTTTCTAATTTTGATTTCTGTGTAACACATGGGTATTTGGGAATGGAATTTAAACAAATTTTTTTTTCTTATATTGCCTTCTTGATATGACAACAATAATGTTTGTAAGGGTAAAGGATTACAATAAAATGCTTATCCAATATTAGTGTATACAGTCTTGGTAAACTAGGTGAAGGAAGAAGCGGCATTTAGGGTTTACACTCTCTCTACCAACACTTTTACGTCATTGTTAAACACAGAATGTCTTAAGTTTGGATAAAATCAACTGTTTTATTACATGATTATTTATCAAAAAATAAAATATTTATTGTCCAGATTGCAAATTGATGAATACAGTTATCTAGTTACAGTTATTCATGTTGATCTTGATATATTGTATTAAAGTTTACTTCAACCTTGCTTTTTATGTTAAAGAAGGTGAGGACTTTCCTTCTATTGCAGCAACATAAAATTATATCATTCCCTTATGCAAACTGCTTTCATAATTATTCAATTTTCCTTTTAAGTTTATTCCACCATAAATTTTTTTATCAGATCAAAGTATTTATATGTATACCTTTCCCTTTTTTTGAAAAAGAAAGAAAGAAAGGAAATGATAAAAAAAGCAAAGAAAAGACAAATTGAAGATATAGTGCTAGTATTCTTATGTTGAGGCATCACATTAAGATATTATAAAAGATAAAATCTTGTTAGGAAACAACTTTAATTTAAAATGATTTAACATATAAAGAAAAGACAATGAGATGTTATATTTGATATTGTACAGGCATATGTTATATTTCATATTGTACAGGCATATGCTATATTTCATATTGTACAGGCATATGTTATATTTCATATTGTACAGGCATATGCTATATTTCATATTGTGCAGGCATATGTTATATTTCATATTGTACAGGCATATGCTATATTTCATATTGTGCAGGCATATGTTATATTCCATATTGTACAGGCATATGTTATATTTCATATTGTACAGGCATATGTTATATTTCATATTGTACAGGCATATGTTATATTTCATATTGTACAGGCATATGTTACATTCATATTGTACAGGCATATGTTATATTTCATATTGTACAGGCATATGCTATATTTCATATTGTGCAGGCATATGTTATATTTCATATTGTACAGACATATGCTATATTTCATATTGTGCAGGCATATGTTATATTCCATATTGTACAGGCATATGCTATATTTCATATTGTGCAGGCATATGTTATATTTCATATTGTACAGGCATATGTTATATTTCATATTGTACAGGCATATGTTATATTTCATATTGTACAGGCATATGTTATATTTCATATTGTACAGGCATATGTTTTATTTCATACTGTACAGGCATATGTTATATTTCATATTGTACAGGCATATGTTGATCAACTGTTAGAGAATGGTCGCAGATTTGATTTCCTCGTCGGACAAGATTCAAGGCGTTGGGGGGGTCACATGTACCCCACAGACAAAATTTCTAAAAGTTTTTTTTTTAAAAAATGTTCATAAAAATTTTTTTTGATGTTAGCTCTTTTTGCCCTGCTAGAAGGGGTATGTTGTTGTTTACTTTATATTTATAACTAATTATGTTAGTACAATTGGGGCTTATTAAGTAGAAAGATTTGAAATTTCTGGAAAGTAAATTCATTTTTTGATTGGTAAAAATTTATCTCAGACATTGAAACATAATCTTTTGTTTCTTTTCTGATTCCAAAATCATGGGGGGGTAATGCACTTTTTTGATAAATTTTAATTTTTCTGGAAGTTACCCGGATCGTTGGCTATTTTGATTGTCCATTGACTACCCACTGTGTTGCAATTGATTTTTTACAATTGTATTTTTAATATTTGTTGTGATATATTTCAGGAATTTATCTGTGATTGAGGGTATAACGTGATAAATTTTGGCAATGTGTTGTGGGAGGTCTGGGCGCTCTTGTACTAGCTGGGGAATTCTACTATGATATATGGATGTTTTTATTTTGTTTTATCATGGCTGGTTGCCAGTATTCGTTAATCAAAAGTGTGCAGCCGGATGCCGCCTCACCCATGCATGTAAGTTACAAGCTGGTAAAACACACTTAGAAATTTTGACAAGAAATATTTAAGAATTTGTATGAAACAATTTGATTCTATAAAGTCATGTATATTTCTTAAGATCTCAGATGAATCTTATTAGACTGAATATATATAAATAATTAGCTGAGTTATGGCCTTTAATAAAAAAAAAAATTTTGCTTTTTATGAGTTTTTGTCTCCCGCTCCGTAGCAAAATTGCTATCAGAGTGACATGTGTCCCGATCACTCTTAATTTTTAACCGGGTTTTATTTTATTTTGGCACTAACTTTTTTTTAAAACACAATTTTTTAATTGTTAAGTTGCAATTTTTTGTTTTTTATAATTTGAAAACCATTTTTTTTTTTTTAATACAGTTTTTTTAAAAATTTTTTTCTTAAAGAAAACTTTTAAATTTTTAAAAACTTGACCATAAATGCATTTAAATTTTATTTTTCTTTTTTCATACCACTTGAAAATAATTAATTTTAATTAAAAATACAAAAATATCTTCTTTAAAATTTTGAAAATTCCAATTTTTAATTCAACTTTTTAAAAAACTAAAAACTTATTAAAACCCCTTTTCTTAAAATTACCTATATTAATATATTAATGACATGATTGATAGAGTTTTTTAAATTTTAGTACTGTTAAAAGATTTGTTTTTAAATAATTGTAAAAAAATAAAAGGGTCTCTTCTTTGGGCTTAATTTTTTAAAATTGCACATCAAAAATTAAATTAAAAGGTTTTACAAATTAATGGTCAAAGTTTCATTTTCTCAAAGTCATAAATTAAAAAATGCATTGTCAATCAGCTGTTCAGTAATTTTTTTGATGTATCAAAGTTTAATAGTTTTATTAAAAGTTTTTTTTCAGGGTTATAAAATCTATTGTGTTTCCCCTCCATTTTTTTCTTCTATGTTTTGGCCTTTATGTTAAAGTTGGATTATGTGGGGAAGTGAGAACCCCTATTTGAATGTGTAGGCATGCCATTTACAACACCTACTATATTACTGTTTGCTAGAGATTTCCTCAGAGGTATGTCTTCTATAATGTCCTTGTTCTTCACCTGTCAATATATATACAGTCAAACTTCGTTCGCTCGAACTCGGAGGGCCTGTGCAAATTTGTTCGAGCGATCGGTAGTTCGAGCGAACCGATGTTGAACAATAATTACATAGAACATAGGCTTAAGGTTTTCCAGCTTATATCGTTCAAACGATAAATACGTCAATAAAACTGTTTTTTAGTACATCTGTTTGTCAAATACGTCATATTAAGAATTTTATCCTATTGAAAACACTATTAACGGTGCACGGTGTTAATCTATATTCATGCATATTGTAATTGGTTGAGTTCGATCGGGCGATCATTATCTAAACTGTGAACAGTGTTCAAGTTTATTATGGGATGAATTTTATTTTAAACAATGAATCGATATTAATCAATATTAAAAAAACAACATTTTACAGCAGCATCTATTTGTAGTCATTTACTAAAATAAACACACATACAAGTATCATTCTATAAATAGATTACACTGTTACAATTCAAGTTACATGAACCACGGTTGTAATTAAAGCCGTCCGGGTAAACGTCATTTACTTATTTAATTACTTTGGGCATTTCAGTAGTTACTTTCTTTTTATCGTTACTAAAGACTGCAAATAAACAATTGTATCATAACAAACAAATCGGTAAAACACCTTTTATTTTGTATCTATTAACCATAATTGTCTTTGTCATGATCACGAAGTGTTAAAAACATGTGTCGCCGACTGTCAATTATTTAGAACATGTCGACCCGCAACTTTTGTTGTCTGTTAGAGTTCGACCGAAAAGGTGTGATTTACACTATATTTCTACCGAAGGGACCGAAGATCAGGTTCGAGAGTTCGAGCGATGGGTGTTCGAGCGATCCGAGGTAGAACAGTATTTATTATATAGGAATTTTGCCGGGACTGGGCGATGAGTTCGAGCGAAGGCAGGTATTCGAGTGATCCGAGTTCGAGCGAACGAAGTTTAACTGTAATTAAATTGCTGGCCTCTCACAGGGGTTTTAATCTCACACACAACATTGGATTCTTCCATGTGAGAAAGTTATGCAGCTATCATATATGAACGTTGATGGTTCTACTCAGGTCACGTCTTGTGCCAGTAATTATGCACAGATGGATGCCCAACGTCTTCCTCCACCACTTAAGCTGGAAAGTCACCATAGACTAGTGGCGACTTAAAAATCAAACTTAAAAAAAAAAGGTTTCATATACCTTGTTACCTACGTAAACAGTTACCCTCGTGCTAGATATTCCGGTCTGTATCGGCAGCCAGTGTAAGATTCTTATAATAAACCACTTTAGATTTTAATGTGAATGAAGTGACTAAGCTAAGGTAGCAAACAGATGATTGATGATCTGTGTTACACAATATGTTATGTAAAACATGATTTATTATTATATTTCAGTGTTGCTGCTGTGTTTACCTGTGATATTTACAGTCGGACTTCTGCCTCAAGTTAACACATTTATAACATTTGCTTTAGAACAAATAGATACACATGTTTTTGGTGGGAATGGTATGTAATTTGTTTACAATATCGAAATTTTTCAAAACTTTATGTTTAATAAATTCAGTGCGTACAATATTGTTCTTGCAACATCCAATTTATATTTATTTCATTTCTGTGCCTAGTTCTGTTTAATCTGTATAATGTTTTGAATAACCATTTTTTGCATAATTACCTTCATGTTTAATAAGTATTCCTAAAAAAAAAAATAAATAAATAAATAAAAAATTAATTTAATATGTCTTTTCTGCTTAATGCCATAATAATTGTATTTTAAATTCTGTAGAAATGATAAAGAAATGGTAAAAGTTTCTATAATGTATGATATATTATTATTTCAGCAACTGTTAGTCTGGTATCATCTGTATACTGTTTATGTAGAAGTTTACTAGCTGCCGGATTTCTCTATGTTATATGTTACCTTACACTCATACAACTAGGCAAGGTATATCATCTTGTTTATTTCAGTTTTTACAAATTAAATATTAATTAAACTTGATTCTAATAGCTTGGACAAGTGGTTAATTTGTAGGACTGGTAATCTACGGATTGCTGGCCACATGGGTTCAAACGATGTCAAGGGCAAGCCATTTCTCCTTGAGCAAGATGCTAAGTACTGGTTGATTTGAGAATGTCTTTATAAGCTTGTAACTTCGTAGACCAGCTAAAATGAATTCTGTATAAATAAATAATTTTATTACATGCTTTTCGGTGGTTTATAGAAATATATCAGTGATATAAAACTGGTAATTTCACTGTTTGAAACAGTGAAATTACCACTTTGATAATTTCACTGTTTTGAATTTAAGCCCCTTACGTTGTTTCAGTGAAATACCAGCGTGCACAGTACTGGGTACCAACTCAATGACGTGACATCGTAAATGACGTCACGTTGTATTATTATTTGGCGCGCTTTTCATATAGTATTAGGTTTAATGTCTTTTTAAAACGTTTCTTTGCATATAATAAAAAGAAAATTTGTTTAGTTTAGTGCAAGATCGAAATATATTTCACTTTGTGAACACCAAAAGTTCAAATTTCACTCGTGGCTGCGCCACTCGTGAAATATACCTTTTGGTGCTCACTCGGTGAAATATATTCCGATCTTACACTGAACTAATTAAATATCCTCTATATACTATTCATCTATATCAAACTATTTGGTTTGTTCACATAGTTTGATATTGTGTAAAACTAAATTCTGATTTAATGCTGTCTTAGATTCAGTGATTGCTCTATTTTATATAGATGTAGAAGTATTAAATGATAATCATTTAGTTTAATTCTGGATGCACTTATATTATATTATCTTGCCTGTATACTTACTTACTTGTCTTGAGAGATAGGGTCAAAGAAGAGTTATAGATATATGACTGTGCTAAGCAATACCTAGCAAAAGCATTGACTTGTTCTTATATTGTAGAATATAGTAGATGAACCGAACCCATGTAAGAATGCAGAGTTTGCCCAGACTGCAGCATTTTCTATATACTGTGCTGTTCTTGTAGCCATGTCTTATCATCTTAGTAGATCAGCATCAGATCCTAGTGTTCTATGGTAAATATTCAGCTCTTATCTTCTAGGAATATTCTGTTTTGATTCATTGATTTGAAGCATAAATATAATATAAATAATGATATTTATTTTAACATTAAACATTTTTTAAAAATAATTAAAGTTAATTAAAGTTTTTAGTCTTACTTTCATTTACGTTTTCCCTGACTGTAGTTTGTATGAAATTTCAAACATTTCATGCTCATTATTTTCCAGATATATTAAGTATAAATTTATATTCTGTTCAAATTTTTAAGTGTTGATATTTAGATAAAATCATTTAACATAGATTTATGTGATTCTGTTAAAATTTTGAAAGTATGGATATTTTGTTAAAATGATTGAACATAGATTTATGAGATAGTTGTACAGTGATTAATAAGAACAAGTTTGTATTTTGTCAGGATGTTGATCAAAGATAAAGTGTTTGGAGATAAAGAAGAAGAAGAAGAAGGAGAGAAAGAAGGTTCAGATCTGAAAGATCCATTGCCAGGAAAAATGAAAACCTGTGTTGTAAGGAAATCATTTTATAATAATTTTTACGTAAAGTGGACACAAGCCAAGATCCTTTCTTAATGTTATATTCTTGAGAAATGAAATTTCATAAAAAAAAACAACAATTTACAAAGGAGGTGTCAATAATTCGTAAAGAAGTAAGCTTAAATACTAGAAAAAGATAATTTAAGAAAATGTGATGATAATTTTATAAAAAAAAGCTGCAAATGAATGTTTATTTCTATTATTGTTTAATGAGTACAAATGTATGTTTGGATCTTGTCTAATTTTCATGTATTGTATTGAAGGTAGGCATCCTAGGTGCCAGCTATATTTTGAACATACAGAGGGTTGTTAGTTTTCTTTCACTAGTAAAACTGGACAGTTAACCTTTGACCTTAACAGAGACTGTGATAACATTGTGACTGAGAAATGGCTAACATAATTAAAGTGTTATTACAATGATTTTCTTTCTGTATATTTTCAGAGTGAGAGACTACAGTCTGACTTACTGATCAGCATTGTTATTATGATTCTGTCATTTGCCATCCATGTCAGTACAGTGTTTATACAGGTAAATTGTTACATCTTAATATTCATAACATTATTTACATCATCATAATAAGACAAAAAGTGTTTGGTATAAATATTACCTAATGGTTGTTAGTCACATGTAGCTTTGAAATTCACTCCCATTGATGATATCCTATATTTAGCTATTTCTATTTTATTTCAGTCTGTATTTGATGGCTATATTTCACTTTACTGACTTCTTTCAGTCTCCCATAGATGATATTCTATATTTCACTGTTGCTGGTTTTGAATTTCAGCCCCTCATAGATGATATCCTATATTTCACTGTTACTGACTTATTTCAGCCTCTCATAGATGATATTCTATATTTCACTGTTCCTGTTTTATTTCAACCCCTAATTGATGATTTTCTATATTTCACTGTTGTTGGTTTTGAATTTCAGCCTCTCATAGATGATATCCTATATTTCACTGTTGCTGGTTTTGGATTTCTCATACACTACCTCATACCACAACTACGTAAAGAGATGCCATGGTTATGTTGCTCTCATCCGTTACTGAAAAGTCAGGAGAGAAGCATGTTTGAAGCTACAGGTAAAATTTGTATTCTCAGCTCTTATTTCTATGGTTTAAGTCAAACTGAGCTAATTGAGAACCACCTGTCTGTAAATGCTGAAGGTTTCATCATTAAAACATGCACACTTAAATTAAACTCTATTAAATTCCTCATATATTAAATGATTTGTAATTCTGAATGATATTATTAATTAACATTAAAGTTTTTTTTAGTGAAGCCGATGACAGAAATTGCATAATGCACAGTGTGCTGTGATCAAAATTAGCCCTAAAATTACAGCAATTCATGGTAGATTTTCTATTTGGCTAGTACTCAATTTATATTAAGGAGCATCTGTGGCCGAGTGGTTAGGTCATTGACTTCAAATCACTTGCCTCTCACCACTGTAGGTTTAAGTCGCCCATTTGTGCCTGAAATAATGTACATCTGAGGTTTTCCTCCACCAGTAAAGCTGGAAAGTCACCAAGTGACCTGTACTGTGTTGGTGTGATGTAAAACCCACAAAATAACAATAATCTCAACTTATTCAACTTGATTGTAAATTTCAATGTGATTTTCTATGATTACAGGAGCAGCAAAGATAATGTGGTTTGAGAAGTTATATATATGGTTGAGATTTATAGAAAGGAATGGAATGTATCCTGTCGTTGTATTGTGTGCCTTAACCAGGTCTGTCCCTGAGATTGTCTGCAAGTTTGGAAACTAGTAAGTTAATTCATGATCATTATACAATAATTTACCAGTTTTACATCAATCAAATATGTTTAAGTATGATCATACAAGCTGATTGTGAACTATTGTGAGACACAAGTTGAAAATTGCAAATTTTACTAAGTCAAGGGCAATAACTGTACAAATACTACCTATTGTATTGGTACTACTATTTAAAAACAGTGGTTTACTTGTAGCTTTATGATTTTAAAGCTTGAAGTATTTCCTTGGTGTGATATAAAGAGTATCAAGTTAACAATTTCAAATAAGCAAACATGTTGCAAGAATTATTATGTACATGAAAAGGGTTTGATTCACAGATACTCAGCATCTAAATATCATATAAAAAATTGTTGTTCAATAACAGATAGATTTTTGACTGCATTTTAAGATTTTAGATTTTTGACTGCATTTTAAGATTTTTGATTGCATTTTAAGATATATGTTGTATTTTGTTCATCTTCAGCAAAAGAAATGTATTAATTTAATTACTTCAATTACTTGGAAGTGTCTGTGGCCAAGTGCTTAAGGTCGATGACTTCAAACCATTTGCCTCTCACTTCTGTAGGTTCAAGCCGCGCTAACATTTTTGGATTCTTCATGTGAGAAAGCCATCTTACAGAACGTCTGTAGTTCTACTCAGGTGCCCGTTTGTGCCTGAAATAATGTACAGAGGGGCACCTGAGGTCTTCCTCTACCAGTAAAACTGGAAAGTAGCCATATGAACTTTACTGTGTTTGTGCAACATTTTACCCAATAAAAAATTTCTATATAGAGTGTTTCTTACATTTAACATACTGTATTTGTATATTTTTCAGTTTCGGTCCACTGGTGCTTACAGTGTGTTCATTAAAGCTGCTGAGATTTGCATTTTCTAATACACCAAAACAACATATGATTCTAGCATTTACTGTTCTATTCTTTAAATATGATGCTCGCTGGGCGACAGAAACCACACTGATAGATTACTTCTTTCTTGCCATTCTCTTTACAAAGGTAATATTCATGATAAATACTAGGTTATCTTTAAACAGAATACACTTCAGTTTCTTGCATATCAGACTGGCAATTCCGTGAGTTTTACCCATGCCGGAAATTTCATACAGCATGGGGGGTGCCAGATGAGTTGCATGCTGTACATTGGCACGTTTAGGATGACGTCATTTTACCGTTATGAATGAAGTTGTACTTCATACGCTGTTGTAAGAAAGTAGTTACGGTTGTAATGATATAAATTTCCACTGAAAAAAAGATAAAAGAATTTAAAATATAATGGAATGTGGTAGAATATGCAAGAAAAAACATCTGACATGTTTTCAGCTCAGATTGGAATATCCGTCCCTCGGTCACCCGCCCATGGGTGGTATTGAGGCTTGCCGAGTTACCGCCCAATGGTCGGGTCACTTCGGGACGGATCTTTCGATCCCTAACCCTTACACAACCACAAAATATGACAGATATTATTATTCTTTACAGAAACATGATGTTGCTTTTTATATAAACAATATATACATTATAATATCCTAATTTGCACAATTGTGATATTAAAGTAGACTGTAGATTGGCGATCATGGTGTTTTCTGTAATGTGGTAAAAATGTTACAGTCTAGGTAAAACAACTCGAGATAAATCATAACTACCTTGATATTCATGGAAGGATTTGTTTGCTGCCTTATCTTATTGTCAGTTTGTATATGTTTTTGTTTTATTCTGATATTTTTATATTATATATTAGTAGAATAAATTGTCATTAGTAAGTTATTGTATATATTTCAGTTTTGTGACCTGTATTTGAAGATGAAGTTTATCATAACATATATAGCACCCTGGCAGATCACCTGGGGCTCCGCCTTCCATGCATTTGCTCAACCTTTCAGTGTGCCTCGTATCCTTTCTCTATATTTTGCTTGTTTACTCGTTCTGGGGCAATATTGAGTTAAAACTGGCATTGGCCTCATTTTCTTAAAAAATAGTTTTGAAAATCCATGTTCATATAAGTTTCTGCAATGTGTCTGTTATACAGTTTTCCAAATGATTATAGTAGAAAGTTGTCAAAAGACAAATTATTATATTATTGTTTCCTTCAAGCAAAAAATATGTTGGACAAGCTTGTAGAATCTCCTTGAAGTAAAAAATCATTTGTTATTGTAATAATAATTATAGTATATTCTAATCTGTTATACCTTTTGGTATGTATATAAATACCTTTTTAAGTTAAAAGTTCATTTTTTGTTAATTTTAGTTTAAAATTAAAGCTTACAACCCTGAATTTCTGTAATGGATTTGCCCAGGCTTGAAGTGGGATTAGTTCATTAATTGCCCAAGGGTCATCAGTATCATATTAAATTTTTTATCAGTTGTCATTATATAGTCTGGTCAGGTTGCATGGATGTGTCCGCTGACCTGGCACTATATTGATTGCTTAAATCTACATGCTAGTGCTTAATGAGTGAAAGATTGGAAGTATGTTTATCTTAACATATAATAAAGATTCTGCGATGTTATTTCTACAAGCTGGGGTATCATCATTCTTCTCTACACCACTCAACCCATTCCTTGGTAGTGCCATATTTATAACATCCTATGTCAGACCAGTCAAGTTCTGGGAAAAGGACTACAAGTATGTAAACTTATATCATTTATACTTTATAGGATTCACCATAGTATAACTTAAATTTATAACTCGCTCATTTAAATTGTAGAAACAGATTTTAGGCAAAATTAGTATTTGCATGATATGTCCAGCAATGTGTCGGTGTTGCTGTTAAACCCTAGCAAACAATTATGGCGTGCTATTCTAACAAATTACAAAAATGACAAAAATCGATGTTATAATATGACTTCTGTAAAAATATAAAGTAGATATTTGACATTTATTTTAAAAACTTTTACATGTTCTATTAATATTTCAATGTAAAAAAAATATTCCAGTGTTAAACATTTCACGTGATTCACCCTGTTCTAACAAGTATTTTATTTCTGCTTGTTCTGTAATTTTATATAACCATGATGTGTCAACATAAATGTAGTTGAGGAAAAAGTTCCATTTGAAACTTCTCTGTTTAGTTGATTAAGAAAAGTTTACCATTATCTTAATAGAATTATTATTATATTTTGAACATTATAAAATATATAATTTTATTTCAGTACAAAACGGGTAGATCACAGCAATACAAGGTTATCTCAACAGTTGGAGAGAAATACTGGTTAGTTAGATATAAAACATACTTCTATCCTCTTGTTCTACTCTAGTTTATAATGATAAATCTATAGTCATTGTTTATCTACCAAGAATTGTAAAGTTGATTTAATCAGTAAAAGTTCTTGCCTAGATGTGTATTCTATATTTACAGGCATGAGCAAACCTTGAAGTGTTATTGCCTTTTAATTACATGCAGATTTGGAAATGTTTTCATTATACCATCCTAGGAGGTAACACACACTGACAAACAGAATGATTTATTTCACAAACAAGTTTTTATTTTACTAGTATATTACTACAGCATCATGTTTTTCAATAATACATAATACGTTCACATCATATATATATTTGTGTTTGTTATTTTACAGGTGCTGATGATAACAATCTAAACTCTATATTTTATGAACATTTAACTCGATCATTACAACATAGTTTATGCGGGGATCTGTTAATGGGTAGGTGGGGTAACGCGGAGCAAGGTGACATATTTATCATGGCGTCAGATTCTCTTAATGCACTTGTACATATCATAGAGATGGGCAATGGTGTTGTCACATTTCAACTCAGGGGACTTGAATTCAGGGGTAAGTTCAGTCCTTCCTTTATATAAATCAATTACATATAAAAATCATTGAATTTGTGAACATTACTTATCTTAAGTTACATAATTTATCTTTAATATAGATCTGTAAACCACAATGTGGAATATGTTGTAAGTGAATGTAAGATTTTTTACCTTTCATTGTTTTATTTTATAACATACATTTAACTAAAGATATGACTCTATAGTCAACAAGGTTTATTATGATTATTACGGTATGTAATTTTTATTAGGAATATGTCTTCAGGACAACAACCTATCAAAACAATATTTTGTTACATGAGTTTAAATCTGTTTAATTTCATTTCAGGAACATATTGTCAGCAGAGAGAAGTAGAAGCTATAACAGAAGGTGTAGAAGATAATGATGGTATGTTGATATAGAATTTGAAAAATTCCAATAACTGTTCAACTAAAAATTAATTTATTTAATTGTCTTTTTGTCTGCCTTTTAGTTGTAGATGAGTAAGAAACTGTTAAGAAATACATGGACCAGTTTTCTACATTTGCTTATTTATCTTTATATCAAAATGATCAGTTTGTTTAAATGTTTGTCACAGGGTGAGAAAAATGTGCATCCTGGCTGGGACTCAAACCTAGGACCCTCTTTATACCTTACCTTGGATCTACCGACTGAGCTATTAGGTTGCTTACACATTCTAGATCATGACATACTTCCCATCAACATTGAAATTCTTCCACAAATTTCTAATGGGAGTAGAGAACAACGTAAATTGATGCAGAGCTATTTACAGTTTTACACATTTTGTCCTCTAATAAGTGAACAGTTCTAGACCATGACATATTATTAAATGATAATAAATATTTCAGGATTTTGTTGTTTTGAGCCTGGTCATCTACCTCATTTTCTGTCTCTGAATGCTGCGTTTAATCAAAGATGGTTATCGTGGGAGGTTGTTGTCACGAAGTACGTTCTCGAGGGTTACAGTATATCTGATAACAATGCTGCCTCTATGGTGGGAGTGTTTGACTTCAGGAAAGTTCTCATTATGTATTATGTTCAGGTAATTATCACTGTCTATATTTAAATTTGTTGATACAGGTCTGGAAAAGATAAAAAAAAATGAATTTGTTAATAATATAAACTGCAGATGTAAGAAATATATTGTGTTCGTTCTTTTTTTCTGTTCATAATATATTAATATATGTATAACAAACTCAATACTATTTGTAATGTATTATTTTGTGAATAAAATATTGTTTAAACTAAAGATATAAACAAATTTTACTTTTCAATAGCTTCTCAATGTATAGTTTTCATCAATTTTTACTAAAACTTCTGTTCTAATTATGAATATGATAAGAAATAATTTTATCACATCTACTAGAAAAAAGAAAGTAAATTTTTTTCAATATCTGTTAAAGACATATGATATAATTTATTTCCATGGTATAATTGACTATTTTGAGGGTATTATATGTTATAATGTTTTATCTTGTTGTTACATTTCAGAGTATAATATATTATACTGTAAGATCTCCGAGGTTAGAACAATGGTTAGATAACAGTGGTATTCAGGAAGCATTACTGCCGATGAATGACGAGAATTATTGTGACGTTGATCCGACGTTCAGCGTACATGTTGATGATGATTATGACTCTCAGAATTCTGGGATATCTCGTAAAAGTTTCTGTAATCGTAATCTGGACTGGATTCAGTATTGTGCTTCAAGACGAGAAAAAGTAAGTAGGAAAATTTTATACAGCCTTGTCACATATTAGTAACTGGACTTTGTTGTGGTTTTATTGTAAGAAAATGCAGTATGAACTAAATGGATTCAATTTTGTTGTTCGTTCACGAGGTCTTTATGTATTTTTTCTTTATCTTAATCAATTATTGTTATGTCAAGTCAAAAAACATTTATTTCTCTCATTCCATGTACAAACATGACATAATGAGGTGATTGTGTCACATGGTCTCAATGAATTTGTCTTTTCCTGTATCTAAAGATACTTTTATTTAAAAAAAATTGTATTAAAGTTTGTTTGAAAAATAGAAAATCATTCTTTTATTATATTACCTATTCTCATATTCCAGTCTTCTTATAAATGTATTCAAAAATAAAGCTTATTTGATTAAAATACATTGCTATCCTATTTTATATGTTACTTTTTAGTCCCCTACCGGTTTACCGGAGGGGACTTTAGGTTTACCCTCCGTCCGTCTGTCCGTCTGTCCGTCCGTCCGTCCGTCCGTCTGTCCGTCCGTCAGTCCGTCCGTCCACAAAACTGGATCCCGCGATAATGCAAAAAGTACTGAAAATATTTTAATGAAACTTGATATATGGATAGATGGCAGTATGGAGATTATGCACGTCTTTTTCTTTTCTTCCTATGTTGAAAATTCTGGTTGCTATGGCAACAAATAGACTGAAAATATGGCAAATTTTACACATAACCTGGATCCCGCGATAACGCAAAAAGTACTGAAAATATTTTTATGAAACTTGATATATGGATAGATGACAGTATGGAGATTATGCACGTCTTTTTCTTTTCTTCCTATGTTGAAAATTCTGGTTGCTATGGCAACAAATAGACTGAAAATATGGCAAATTTTACACATAACCTGGATCCAGTGATAACACAAAAAGTACTGAAAATATGTTTATGAAACTTGACAAATTGGTAGATGGCAATATGGAAATTATGCACATCCTTTTTTATCTTCCTATGTTGAAAATTCTGGTTGCTATGGCAACAAATAGACTGAATTTCAAGATTTCTGATTCTAGTTTTTAAGTTTTTTCACTATAAGTTCTTTATTTCTTAAGGTATTTTCTTCAAATTTTAAATATAAGTTGCTTGTCATCAACCACATCATATGTGACAAGGTTTACAACTCTAGCACAAAAATTATCAGAATTACCTCCCTTGAACTTAAAATTTTCATTAAAAAACATTGTTTTTTTTTTAATAACTTCTTTTTCTGAATGTATCTACTTCAAACTTCATATAAATGTTTCTTATTGTCACTCAACATTTGTGAGTGTTCAATACTCTAGCAAGACTATTAGGGAGAATTATGCCCCTTTTGAACTTAGACTTTTTTTTGAGAAATTGGTAATTTTTACTCCAACTTCTTCAATCATGATAGGATTTTAAAAATGTTATATTTTGATAACAGGGATGTTTAAAAAATAACTTTAGAGTGTCCGTCTGTCTGTACATAAAAACTGTTTCCTGTGATCACTTTTAAAGAACTTTTTCAACAAATTTACTTAAAATAGGAACCTAAGTGAATGGCCAATGGCCCTTCAGAATGTTGCTTGGGCTCTTACCGGTAGGGGACTTATGGATTGCTTGCAATACTATGATAATTGCTTGTTAACTGTTGTTACTAGGTGGTTGTATAGTTGACTTTATGTCATTATATGTTATATTACAGCAAGTAGATTGTAGAAGAGATTCACCACTGGTCACATTGTGTTTTGCTCTCAGTTTATTAGGGCGGAGGGCGCTGGGTACAGCCTCACATAATAATGCTTCTGCCAGGTATGTTACTAGAATACAATATGTATTAATAGTAAATAAGATCTATACTATAATCCACATTGCCTGTTTCATATCTAGTTTAGAAAGCCCTTGAAAATATATAATGTTTCATAGTTCTGTGGTTTGCTATTTGATTGTTCAGAAATTTTGTACACAATTTCAATTTTCCTAGAATTATCTAGTTTTATAATAATAACCAGATTTATAAAGCGCCTTTCAGCACTTTCAAAGGCGCTAAAATACTGCAAAATTAAAGTTTTGTTCAAATATACTTTATGAATTACATGTATATTTGTGTTGCCTTTTCAGTGTTGAGTTTTTCCTATATGGTCTACATGCATTATTTAAAGGAGATTTTCGTATAACATCATCACGAGATGAATGGGTGTTTGCAGATATGGAGTTATTACGTCGTGTTGTAGCGCCAGGTGTTAGAATGTCTCTAAAATTACACCAGGTACACATAATTTTTATAATGTAATAATTCACAGTGGTTTTGTGCCTTTTGCCTGGTGGTTAAGGCAGTTGACTTCAAACCACTTGCCCCTCATTCCTGTGGGTTCGAATCTTTGGATTATTTCGTTTGAGGAAGCCATCCAGCTAGCTTACAGAACATTGGAGGTTGTACTCAAGTGCCCACTCGAAATAATTATTCAAGCTATTTGACTGGACATATTGAGTGGTATCACCCAGACAACATTAAATCCATAAAGTAGAAATTTCCTACAATATATATAGATGAGCTTATATAGAAGGTTTCTTGTTGTTATGCTACAAATTGATATTATAATTTGAACTTTACTTCTATAACTTTTACAACTATATATATTCAGGACCATTTTTTGATCTCGGAAGCGTATGAGAGTGAGGAATCTCTGTATGATGCTATAAGTCATTATGAAACCAGTCTAGTCATCTCACACGAGGCTGATCCTGCCTGGAGAAATGCTGTACTATCTAATACACCATCTTTACTTGCTCTTAGGTTTGTATTATGAAATAATACATAAAGTGGAATCATAGATTCCTCCAATAGCATAGCTGGACTATAATTATACAGTATAATTGTTAAATCAGTAAAAACTTTATCAAAACTTCAATTTAAATTCTTGTATATTAAGTCCCTTGTAATGTTTGTCGCAATGGTAATAAAATTTATTATGAAAGTAAGTATACAAAGTTGTTCTCAACATTTAAGATATGTTAAGGATGATGAATCTTTTGTTTTCTTGATTAATTGCAGGATATCACGTAAGCCATTAAGTTGTATTTGTTTAAGGGAATCTGATTCTGTATATTGCCATGCTTTTATTTAAGATAGTCTGACAACCTATGAGTAAATATCAACTATTGTAATAGAAATACATTGATATTATATTGCAGGAATGTTTTTGATGAAGGATCAGATGAGTACAAGATTATCATGTTAAATAAACGTTTTCTTACATTCAGAATTGTCAAGGTTTGTAAATCTATCCAGATACAATTATGTAATGATTAATATAATAGTAATTTTCTCTTTTCATATGTGTTAATAAAGTTTGTCCTGAAATTTTATTATACATTGTATATGAAGTTGTCACTATTAAATTATAGCGAATCACTTACATTTTTTACAATTATTGATTAGAAACAATTGTATGGAATGAAAATGTCTTTCTATTGATAAAGACGTAGGGTTTTTTGAAATAATGCTTCAAATTTTTTGTTTTGATCAGTATTTTAAGACTTTATGAAACATATATTATTGAAACAGGTGAACCGTGAATGTGTTCGTGGATTGTGGGCGGGGCAACAACAGGAATTGATCTTCCTAAGAAACCGTAACCCAGAACGTGGCAGTATACAGAATGCTAAACAAGCTCTACGTAACATGATAAACTCATCATGTGATCAACCAATAGGTTACCCTATATATGTGTCTCCCTTGACTACATCATACTCATCTACCAATGAACAATATACATCAGTTATTGGTGGAGAATTTATCATAGATAATGTTAAAAGATTCTTCAAGAACGCCTGGCAGAGGTATGCTATCAGTTATACTACATTAAAAGTATTTTATTTTAAGAATCTTTTTAGAAAATTACAATGTCTGATTTAAAGCCACTGACCTCCAGATGGTAAAATGAAAAAAATGAAATAAAATTTCAAGTAAACAGTAAATACTGATCTAGTTAGGTTTATTGTATAAATCCATCATCACTGACACCTTAATTCAAGAAAGAATGTTGACAAAAGCGTTAATATATCGGGTTTTTCTTTTCCATAATCTACTACGTTACTAACGCAGTAGCCAATATAAATAGAAGATAATTCATTTAACCCGGTCACGTGTCACAACAGTGGTCCGGAAAAATCACGGTATCCGGTATGCCCGGGATCGTGTATCAATTTTCGTCATTGAGTAGGCCATTATCACATTTCAAGCTAAAGGTTAAATCGATAAATTGGTCATCATATATATGAAATAATTAATCAATTATAATTTATAGGGCCATGAATTACTACAAATATAAAAACAATAGCAATTATTGGTATCCCTATAAAATCCCGGGTTCTGTGCATTCCGGAGCACAGGTCGCGATATTGTCCTGTACGATCATGTGATACTAGAAAAAAACCCGGATGAAAAAATTTCCGTGGTATAATAAAAGAAGATATTTCCCGTGGGTAGAAAATGAACCGTTTGTTTTCAGAGCAATAATGTTAAAATATGAACATTTTGAAGTGTCATTTCGTTTTCTTTCAACAATATAATCTTTTTGAGGGGGATTTTGAAATATTAGCAAGACGGCAGTTTTTCTGCTATCTTCTGGAGGTCAGCTGCTTTAAAGAATCAGAATAAAGGTTAACTTGATATCAACATTTTATCTTCCACTACTTATTTATGGAAATTATGTGGACAAGTTGGTGTCTACTTGTTACAAAAACAAGTTTATACTGTAGGAAGATGAAAGAATACTCGTTAAGTAACAGCCTATAGATATATTGCTGATATGGGGCTATAATTGCTAAATCTTAACAAATAGTATAATAAACAAATTAAGTTAACAAATTATGATATGTGAGGTTTGGCACAAATATGTATTGCATTCATATATGATTTTAAAAGGTAGTGTTGTGATTTATAAAGTAATATGTATTTTTAGTTTAAGACGCCATTGTGGGGCATCATGTACTTCTGGGAGTTCAGCTTGTGTGGAGGGAGATATCCCGTACAGCTGTACACATCAAGCCGCAGCTGCTGTCCTTGGTTCAGCTGGCAGAGGTTGCCCCCCAACCACTCCTGTCAACACACCTGGGGACATGACACTGAACTCTAGGGGTAACAGGGGAAGTCTGATCTCTACAACCAGTTCTGCTGCCAGCAAACCAAGATCAGTTGTCACACTATCTGGACTGATACTTGACAGTCAACAAGCAAAAGATTCCTGGTTAAAAGCAAAGGTCTGTGATCAGTGTAACATTGTTTTCAATTGTTAATTCAAACCTTAATTGTGTTTTATTTTAACCATCACTAGATTCTCAGCTTTATTTTTGCCAAAGTCTAAGTGTTTCAGTCTAAACAGATTATGTTTGCTTTTTCTTCTTTTTGTTATCTACAAGCCAAATAATGTCTTCTACAATTTTGAAGAAAGGATCTTATTTGATAAGCAATCAGTAATAAAAGTATAATTGAATACATGACAGATTTATCAATAAATTTATTGTGAATAATAGATGACAGATTTATCAATAAATTTATTGTGTATATTACATGACAGATTTATCAATAAATTTATTGTGAATAATAGATGACAGATTTATCAATAAATTTATTGTGTATATTACACGACAGATTTATCAAGAAATTTATTGTGTATTTTACACGACAGATTTATCAAGAAATTTATTGTGTATATTACATGAATGAGTTATCAAGTAATTTATTGTGTATTTTACATGAAAGATTTATCAAGTAATTTATTGTGTATATTACATGACAGATTTATCAAGTAATTTATTGTGTATATTATGTGACAGATTTATCAAGTAATTTATTGTGTATATTACATGACAGATTTATCAAGTAATTTATTGTGTATATTTCATGACAGATTTATCAAGTAATTTATTGTGTATATTACATGACAGATTTATCAAGAAATTTATTGTGTTTATTACATGACAGATTTATCAAGTAATTTATTGTGTATATTACACGACAGATTTATCAAGAAATTTATTGTGTATATTCCAAGACAGATTTTTCAAGAAATTTATCGTGTATATTCCAAGACAGATTTATCAAGAAATTTATCGTGTATATTACATGAATGATTTATCAAGAAATTTATCGTGTATATTACACAACAGATTTATCAAGAAATTTATCGTGTATATTACACGGCAGATTTATCAAGAAATTTATTGTGTATATTACACAACAGATTTATCAAGTAATTTATTGTGTATTTTACATGAAAGATTTATCAAGTAATTTATTGTGTATATTACATGACAGATTTATCAAGAAATTTATTGTGTATATTACATGAATAATTTATCAAGTAATTTATTGTGTATATAACATGACAGATTTATCAAGTAATTTATTGTGTATATTACATGACAGATTTATCAAGTAATTTATTGTGTATATTTCATGACAGATTTATCAAGTAATTTATTGTGTATATTACATGACCGATTTATCAAGAAATTTATTGTGTATATTACATGACAGATTTATCAAGAAATTTATTGTGTATATTACATGACAGATTTATCAATAAATTTATTGTGTATATTACAGATTACAGATGTGAGCTGTGTGTATGACAGTGTGAATTTAGGACGTAGAATTGATGTACAATGGCCAAATGAGGAGTGGAGGAATAATGGAGGGAAGAATGTTTGGTCTGGCTGGTACCCGACACAAGGACAAGAGGGTTATGTTGTACATCGCTGGTCCCCATGTCATAAAGAAACTGTTAAAAGATCACATGTTGATAAAACGATAGTATTATTACAAATTGGAGACAAATATGTTCCTATAGGAGAACAAGGTGTGCAGTATACCGGAGCAGAAGTTTGCCTTCACCCACTGGCAACATGAGAACAACTCATTGATTTGTTCATGTAGGTTTCTTAGAATTTGTACAAGGACACTGCAGCAGATCATGACATCATCATGTACTGTTACCCCGGTTCTTTTCTCTCTCACCTTATTTATTATGCCATAAATCTCTTTTATAGTTACATGTACTTAATTAGATAGAAGTAAAATCTTTGCCATATAAATTTCTTCGTCTTAGAAAACATATATTATACAAACAATTGGTTTTTTTTCTTCATTACGGTGAAATGCTTTCCAAAATTTGTTGTCAAGTTAAATTGTGTTGGGGATATTGAGTATAAATGCCATTATACATGTATTATAATTGCCATTATTAAAACATCATGTCTCATTTAATTTATAAATTATCAAAGATAATTATGTGATATACGAGGGTGGTAAATCAATTTTAATGTTCTTAGTATTTTATTTACTGTTAATTTATGTGAGAATGTAAATAGATAAATTATTTTCTTGTAAATACCTTTCATTTTATATAGCCGCCTGGTCATACTTTAAATTCTCTTAAAATCTTTAATACTTTAACTGCTCGGAATAATCATATTTGATAATCATCACTTCAGAAAAAAAAATGTTTTCTTTTTTTTGAAACATGTCACTTGGCTACAAGATTAAATTGTTCATTACACATTTTTATGAAAGATTTAACCCCTGCTGAAACCAAAGAGTGGTCAGCCTTTACCACCAGTATAGACCAGTCCACACAAGTCCAGTCTGCATAGTCTACTCAGGTGCCTGTTGGTGCCTGAAATAATGCATGGAAGGGCAACTGAGGTCTTCCTCCACCTGTAAAGCTGGAACATTGCCATGTGACCTATACTGTGTTGGTCTGACGTAAAACCAAATCAAACAAAAACAAACAAACAAGGCACAAAGCTTCAAATATTCATCTATATATCCCTAAAATTATTAATGGGATAAGAAAGTATAAAAAACACCAACCAGAAATGTGAATAACTTACGCTTATTTTGCTTTTGCAAAAAAACTTTGCTAAAGTTTCTTATATTGTCAGTTTAAATATTAAATGATTTGTAACTGACATATATGTAGTTATAAACATGTAAACATTTAATGTGTTATTATACAGTAAATATGTCTGCTCTTGATAGTTAATTGATAATTAATTAATTGACTCTGAAATATTCAATTTTAAATATAAATTTTATTTTTGTCAATATATTCATATTCATCTAAATTTCATGTAATATTTTGAATGTTTGTCATAAGATAAGTTGATGGGAAAGTTTAGTTATTTTAAACACTGGATGTGAGATGAATATATATTACTGTTGACAATAAAAACAAGGTTAAATGTTTTACACAATAAACAAATATTGTTTACAAATGTCTCTTTAAAGTAACACTATGCCTTTGATTGTAAATATTTGGTCAGCGTTAGTAACCACACAGATAGTAACCACTTAGATTCTACAAATTTGTTAGTACAATATATTTAATGACATTATTGTAAAATAAAAGGTTCTGTTCTGTTCCTATTGTAATGTTGCCCTAATATGTTTTATTTAATAAGCGTTTGAAAAGATTTTAGTGTATAAACTTGTGTAGATAAATTATTGTTGTTTTAATCTTGAAACTGTCCCCAGCACACTCTGTACTTTGCTTATTAAGACTTTAACCTCAGTATATTTTATATGTTTGATGTATATATATTTGAGTGTACTGATTTTATTTCCAATTTGGCTTAAATTATGTTTGTGCAATAAGTTCCTGTAGTCTACAAATGTAATATATTTGTACATACATTATTATATATACATGTATATATATTTGAGAACGTTTAAACATATTGAAAAATCTATTTGTTTATGTATATATAACTACTGTTATATTAAAACTCTAAAGTTTTGTCTATATGTGTATTATATGATGTTGTACACCAGACATTAGACCATTGATTGGACGGTTTAGTAGTGGTACAGTAGTGGTTATATTGGTGGTTATATTAATGGTTATATTATCATATAGCACTCTTTTTTTAGCTCATCTGTTTTGAAGAAAAAGTCAAGTTATTGTGATTGCTGCCTTGTCGCCATCCTTGATGTTGTCATAGCCATGCAAAAACTTAAAAGCAGCACGCCTCCAGATTCATGTTTATTATCATGGAAATTTTGGAAATGTATTTAAAAGTAAAATATTGTGAGGTGAACAAATAAAGTAATTTATATATTGCAATCGGCACTTACAATCCACGAAAATTCCCCAAAAAAGGTCAAATTATGAAGGAAAAAAAAGCTCTTACTGCGTTAGTAATGCAGTGGAAATATGGTGATAAAATACTAGTCTTTAACCGCACATAACATTTTAGATATAACTTGGATCTTGAATGTTTTTACCTTTCTTAAAATTTTAGTACATTTTTCTCAATATTGATTTTTCTTGAAATATTGTGGCTCATCTGGAGGCGTGCAGCTTTAATGTAGCCCTTTTTCTTTCAAAGATTGTAAAAGGTATTAACATGAAATTTGGAATGCTAGCATATCATGACAAGATGCAGTTACAAGGCTATATTTTAGGAGTTATGCCTCTTTTTAACTAGAACTTTTGCTTAATTGCCTATTTTGTAGAATGGTTTTAAAACTATTTAAAGATATCAACGTGAAACTTGAATCAAGTTATCAACATGAATACTTGTTTATCATTACAAGGCACAGTTATTAGACAAGGGACATTATTCTGAAAGCTAAATTTTTTTAGTTATGCCCTTTTATAACTTAGAATTTTTTGTCATTTGTAAGACAAGGGACATTATACTGAAAGTCATATTTATAGGGAATGTATATCAAAATCCCCTTGATCATAATCCCCTTGGTTGAAAAATGACATAGTGATCGAAATCCCCTCAACAGAAATGACCGGGTGTTCATAATCCCCTTGATGGATAGTCAAAATCCCCTTGGCAAAAATGATGGGGTGGTCAAAATCCCCTCAACTTGTGAAAAACAACCCCCTTTACTCAATATTCTTTTTCCTTTGATCTTTTGTCACTCCAGCTAAACTATTGTGTTACATAAAGAAATGTTGCAAACAGCAGTTACATTGAGTAGAGGAAAGAGTATGGAGTATACTTTAGCAATATAATACAGGTTATTTTTAAATACTCCAATGTTGTCATTCAAAGATTAATTGATTGTTTGTTACATATAACTATAATTGCAATGATTAATTATAATCAACTATCATTTATTTGTTTGTATTTTACAATTTTCTCAGCAATAATAACATCAATAAAGGGTGTCATTATTAACTGGCTGTGACAAACATACACCTTTTAATTGTTTGTATGCTTTTCTCTTTTTTTTCAGCAATTCTTGAAGCAGTTGGTTCTTAAATTCATTGAACTAAAAAGAAAAATAAGAAAAGAAATTTCCCAACCATTTCACATTATTTGAGGGGATTTTGACTACCCACTGAGGGGATTATGACCACCCCTTTATTTTTGCCAAGGGGATTATGATAACCCTGTCATTTCTGTTGAGGGGATTTCGATCACTATGTCGTTTATCAACCAAGGGGATTATGATCAAGGGGATTTTGAGCGTCTCCCATTTATAGGAGTTAATGTCCCTTTTGAACTTAGATAGTTTATAAAAAATGGTTATAGTTGTCATTAACAGATAAGTGTTAATGCCGCATGCGATACTCTTGTTGTATATGATGTTCTCTATATATGTAGTTAGAACAGTGTCATATACACAGATGTTAATCAGGGAACACCCCCCCCCCCAGCAAATATGAGTGTAGGACAAAAGCCCCCCGGACGAAAGCCCCCCCCGTCTAAAAATGACAAGGTGGACAAAAGCCCCCCCCATGAAATGTTCACATAGGACAAAAGCCCCCCCATCAAAAATACAGGTAGGACAAAAGCCCCCCATCTTTTTTCACTCGCACAGGTGCTCAAATTCATCAAATTTCACACAAACTTTTAAATAAAAATGAAAAGAATTTGTTTTAATGTTTATTTATAATGTATATATTGAAGTGATAACAAATTAAATAATGTATGCATGTGATACCGAATTCATAGCTTTTCATATACACAACAAGGGTCAGAAGAGTAGTAATGTTTAATCACTTTTGTAAAGGGATCAAATTAATATCCTAAGCACTATGTCACCTACATGTGACGCCCATACATATCTTTTAAAACACATAAAAAACACAACTTTAATACACTATATGTAAATTTGATTGACTATGGGGGGGGGGCTTTTGTCCTACCTTTACTTTTTTTATGGGGGCTTTTGTCCTATGTGAAAATTTCATGGGGGGGCTTTTGTCCACCTTGTCATTTTTTAGATGGGGGGGCTTTCGTCCGGGGGGGGCTTTTGTCCGTATCCCAGCAAAATATACACTAGCTCATTTTTATGTAATATAGGACTAGTTTATTTAAAATAAGCATATATGTTTTAGATACTGGGAATTATCAATTTGTGTTTTTGTTGATGATATAGATTGCTAGGATACATGGTGTTTCTGTATATTGACCTATTATATTGTACAGTTGATAAAATGTGTTACTTAAATTACTTACCAGTATATTGTTTTACACAATAATTATATTATCTAATACTGTAACATATTTCTTATATTTGAGTCCTCAAGTCAGAGCCCTGGACATTGTTTCATGTTTTCTGGCTTAATTTAGTAGAAGAGAATGTGAATAATGGTGATCATCTTCTTTATTGCTGTTAATTTTTGAAGAATATGATGGAAGATGAAAAAAAAATAGATGTCAAAACAGGTATATTATCCACTTATATTTCTTACCTGACTTTTCATGACAATATATGACTGAAAAATGTTTTGAAATAATGCTGAATACAAAACAAACAAAAAAAATCAGTAGCCACTAAAGTAAATATTTACAAATCATTTAGTTAATTGTTATCACTAGTGTGACATTCCTGATACAGGAAACTTTTTCAAACATTCCAAGGTGAAGTATTATCACATGTGATAAAGTCAACTCACGTTTTCCACTTTGACCTTTATTTTTGTTGACCGAGTAATAATAGATTGACAGTAAAATTTGGAAAAGTAGTAAAACACTTCTTTTTATAATGATGTAAATTTATAGCAGAAAATAAGATAACATACAGAAATATATTAGTCAGGAAATAGTACTTAAATTATTGTTATATTGTTATAGCCATTCAAATCTTGAATCTGAAAAAGAAAAGAAGAAACCAAAAATCAGAAACAAAACCAATTTTTGTATTTTAGATAGGAAGTTTTAAATAATTTGGTTAAAAAAGATGAACAATTAGTTAATCTAACAGTATCTGCCCCATTGTTATGTTATAATAAGTTAAATACAGAAAAAAGATAAGGGACAGAATATCTTACCTTAGATATCATTTTAATTTTCTATTTTGTTATGTATTTGATTGATATGTTAAAGTCCAAATATAATTATCAGAACCATGGTTATTTTAGCATGTTTTTCTTTTCACATATTAGTTTTTTTGTCTGCTTACCTCAAATGATACTTGTTTAGACATATGTAAAATTCCCATTTAAATGTAATCAATATGTGACGGTACTTAAAGTTGAACTTGGTCTGAATGTAAATTGTTATATTGGATATGTAGATATAGTATCTTATGTAATGTAACATAATGTTGGTAGTCCTATAAAAGCACATGATATTGGAGGAAATGGTTATCACAAGTTATCTATAGTAAAACAAACATATATTTTATCATCTAGTCAGAAAGTTATATTATGCTTTTCTTAACACCTATGTTTACACCATCTCTGTTCTTATATTTCTGTTGTTGATTTACTTATTACTTGTGTAGCATTTTCATTTTTAAAAATTCAGAGCTTAGCATTTTTTGTTATTTTTATTATTTGTGAAAGTGTTTCTCATTTTAGAGCCATATATCATGTACAGATGTATTTTCTGTAAACATTTCCATTTTTTATGCTGACTGTAAGGTAATTTTTTAAACACTTCATGAATATGTTCATTTCTATACTTGTAAATTTACTGTTAATTGATTATTTAAATTACTTTGATGCACAATTTTGGTTCAGAAGAAAATACACAAACATATTTCTTATATAATAGAAATAATAAAATGTTTATTGTGAGAATAAACAGTTTCATTCTGTTTAGAATTAATGGCATTTGAAAGATATTTAATGGCAAAATGGCTTTTAGTGTAGGAATTAAAATGGCAAAATCTTAAAATAATATATATTTATGAAATAATGATTTCAGAATTACAGATTATATGTAATGTTTAGGAACGTCTGACTTTCAGAGTACCTGTAATGATTGTTTCTCCCTGTTGTTAATTTTATGGTGTGGTAGTCATGGTAATGTTATGTCTACAATGTTTATTTCCAGTTAGATGTTTAAAATAGGGTTTTTAAGTTTTTAAGTGGGAAACAAAATATAATGATTTTTAAATTCCCCTTTTGGTACTTGTTTTAAGCCAGATTTTATTGATCTACTATTTTACTGCACTTATATCTAAGGTTAATGACAAAAATGACTTCAAAACATGCTCTACTCTTAGCACATTTCAGTATAATATTTTCTCTACCAAACAGATATTTGTATACGGACACTTTGACAGCTTTGATTTAGAATCTGTAAAAGCCTCTAAAGGGAAAAGGTGGCCACTAATCTCCAGGGATTGAGCCTCACTAAGGTCATGTTTCTTCATATGACACCAGTACTTTTAAGTTCCAGGAAGTGAACTTGATCATGGTTCAAATGAGCAGACAGCTTTCTTCACAATCAAGCTAAAATAAATAATGTTTCAACTTAATTTCAGTACTCTTATTTATTTATATCATTATCATTCCTGACTATTTATATCATTATAGATTTATTTAGAAATATTTAAAAAGTTTTTAAAAAATTATTTAAAAAATTTTAAAATTTTTGTATGTTTTACAAAAGATTTTGTAAATAATTACCTTATTTTTTAAAGCCCTTTTAAAAAGCTTTTTACCCCCCTTTTTTTTTTTTTCAAAATTTAAAAAAAAAAAAATTTTTTAAAGGGGGTTGTTTTTTTTTTAAAAAAAATGGTTAAAAATTTTTGGCCCCCCAACCCAAATAAAAGGGGGGGGGGAAAAAATGTTCCCCCCCCTTTTTTTTTTTAAAAAGGGGGGGTTATCCAAAAAATTTGGGCTTTTTTAAGGTTAAAATGGGAAATTATAAAAATACGGGGGAAAAAATTTAAAAAATTTTTACCAAAATTTTTCTATTATAATTCGGATTTTAAATTTAATGAAAAAAAACAACCAAAAAATAAATTTTTTTGGAATTTTAATTCCCCTTTGATGGGAACAAAAATTTATTCCCCCTTTTTCAAGGCGGTTTATAAATTTTTGAATTTTTTAAAAGTTTAACTTTTTTTTTGTTTAAAACTTTTAAAATTTTTCAAACTTTTAATTTTAAAACAGATTTTTAAAAAATTTTTCATTTGGGTTTTTTCCTTTTTAAAAAAATTTTTTTTCACTTTTTTTCTTAATCCCAAAAAGGGGGTTTTTAATAAATTTAAAAATGTTTTTTAAAATTTAAGAATTTTAAAAAAGAATTAAAAAATTTTTAAAAGGTTTATCAAAAAATTTTTGAATTTTTTTAAAAACCCCAAGGGGTTAATTCCAACCCTTTTAATGCCAATAAATTTCAACAAAATTTTTTTAAAAAAAATTTTAATCTTCCAAAAAATTTTTTTTTTTTTAAAAAACTCATAAATTTTCAGATTTAAAAAAAATAAAAAACCAAAATTTTTTTTTTTTAAA